ACAGCAACAGTGGTGTTCAACCCATCATAAAAAGCCATATGTCCAAGATATATTTCATTGGTTCTTTGGAGTCCATGTAGATCATCAAAGTCATCAATACGCACGTACAAATTGCGCCTGAGACACTGTAAATATGAATTGCTATAGAAAAAATATAAATGCTACACACAACTTCGAAAATGCATATCAAAAGCTATGAAATTATGCAATATTTTCTTCGAGAATTCAAAAATTTCCTAGCTAGCTGCACAGAACAAACTACGTTGGAGCAGCGTATGTCCTCTTATTAGAGTTTTGTGTTCTAGTAAACCTTAATAGCTCACAGCTTGAGCTAAAATATTTTAATACCGATTGTAATAATGATATAATAACGGCACCAAAGTGCACCGAAAAAATAGTTTCCAATTGTAGTTGTTAAAAGAAAAAAAAATTTTTTTCAACGGTGGAACTCCCAAAATTGAATTACAGCATCCTGGCTTTTCGTTCTACTTTGTACAATAGAAGGCCAGGCATCGAAAGGAAAAATAAAAATCCGTTCAGGTTGACCACCACTGGAACAGTCAGCTTAAAATACGGATATCAAAATAAAATAAATTTTTTGAATGCATTTTTAATTCCTTTACTCGCTTGGACTGTTGGAAATGTTGAGCACAGACCAATTCCAAACAATTAATTCATAAATCTAGCGAGGTACAGATTGAAGGATTGTAAACCACCAAATAAATTCGGGATAAAATCTCACAAGACAAAACAATCGGTTATGCCAAACAGCAAGGGAGTAACACTGCTGTTCAGTCCACGAACAGGCATTTTATATTCCAGGTGTTGGCAACCTATGTCTCTTAGGCTCCTTGCTTAAGAATACATACTTACAAGACTGAATAAACCTGCATGATACAAATGAGATTTGTTTTCTCGCTCTGAGGAGATTTCTTAGCTCCCGAAGTACGACATTCAATGCACAATTGACGTTTATTTCTGAAGAAAAAATCACAACTAAACAAATTATCCTTTAATAATGGAATCAAACAACGCAAACCATTTTTTGAACAAGTCATCGAATTATTTATTTGCATCTATTAAAATATTTTCATCAATTGAGTTTATCACGTAGTAAACATTCATAACTTGAGAGTACAGTATTGTTTTATCTAATGTACGAGTGTAATATTCGCTGTAGTGTATAATTAAGGTATTCCGCATAACGTATTTACTCATTTTACCACAAAGAGACCGTTATTGGCTGGCGAATATTATTTGGTGATTCCTTTTTTCGGATATGTAAGGAATGAGTCTATATAAGTACTTAGACATCATCTTTATCGAGATCCATGTGAAATGGTTCCATCACATTTTGATTCCACATTTTTCCAATCTTGTCGGAATTCAAAGCCCCTAATGACCTAAGGGAAAGTTTTGTTTTTCACGTGCCATGTATTGTGTAAAAAGTAACGATATTTTATAGTAGTAATAAAATTTTGCCTGCACTGTGGTACATACAACTAATTTTGTCTCTACATCAATTAATGGCAACACTTATCAACTGAGTCACGCCTCGGCTTTTGCATCGCTGTGCAAGCTGATCCTAACAATGTTTTGCGATTTATACTCATTTCGCTGCATTGTGGGACAAACTTCTCGCCATTACAAAAATACACACATTTGTACCATGCAGTCTTTGGATTATAACATTTAATTGCACACGTTCGTTGTATACAATTAATTCCGTAATAAATTGAGTAGGTTGTCTGTATTAATATTTTTTTTCAATTTTATTGCAAGTAACGTTTACATCATCATGAAATAATTCGTTTTCAAGTGTTATTTTAAAACTTCCATTAGGAAGATCATTTGCTGATTTAGGTGCTTTTGAAATTAAAAATGTCTGCGAAAGTATCACAATTTCAAGGGCACTAACACTTACTTGAACAATGAGAGAGCAATTTGAGAACAATCTGTGCCATTTCAAGGTTGCCAACTCCTGTCATATTTCTGCGTGTTAATAAAGCAGCACATCATCCACTTAAATTAGCAGAATTTGAAAAATGTTAACTTGATACTTCTACAACAAAATTTAAAACATAACAAGCTACAAACATCAAATTTACTTTTAAACTTAAAAGGGATAACTTAAATTCTACAGCATTCCAAATTCGAATTTAATTTCAAATCCAATTTCTAAGTGGAATGTATATTTTCTCAAAAATAATTTCTAAAATTGAAAGAATTTAAGCCAGAAATATCTACTACAGGGTCGCCGCTCCTTTCTCTATGGTCTTATCCTCTGAGCCTTTAGCTTCAAAAATTTTAAATGTTGTTTTATTGAACTCTTTCAGTAAAAACTTCCTTTCACGTATGTAACGAAACATTCACATTTTATCATATCGGAATATATTGCAAATATTTAGAAATGATCTCGCTTTGACCTACTTTTATAGCGTAATTAATACAGAAATCAAATGGCGAAGACATGTTCTAACATTTTTAACAAATATCCCCATAACAATTTGATGTCACTTTATTCGAGAATAAAAAGGCAAGTCTCAAACTTATTCAAGCAGTTTTAACGGAAACGTTGAGATATCAAAAACGTGTACTGATGTAATGAAAATTCTTAGTTGAGTATATTAACGATTTCCTTTTAATTAATTCAGATTCATGTTAAACGTAAAATCTAATAACTTCCCATTACAAGACGAGTGAAAGCTCTCATATTACGTTCGCCTATCAATACCTACCCCTACTGCGGCGACCCTCTATTCTACTACTATGCTTTTATTAATAAGAATAAACAAAAAGTTTGATTTAGCTTATTATATCAATATTATATATACACAAAATCATAATATTATATGAAGCAATTGATTGCATACAGTTCAAGAAAAGTGCCTATAAAAATCAAGCATACGCCTGACACAATGAGATTCAAATCTGTCTTCGTCTTTGAAAATATTCTTTGTTTAGTAAATTGGGTTTCAGGGCTGTCGCCAGTCCTTCGCAAAATACCAGTAAAATAACTGAAAATTATGAGCCCAATTGAGAGGTACTTTTTGACCCCGCGGCATAAACTCCAAAAGTGAAGCGGGACGCAAAAATTACTCGCGAATTTGCTTCAAAAAGAATATTTTCTTTGCAAGAGCATCAACTCTCATACCTAAATTCATCAATAATATATGTACTATATACATTTTCTTTATATACGTTTTCAAATAACATGTTATAAAAAACGCCACAAGATCAATTTTCGTAATAGCTAGAATAAACATGTTCAACGAAGATCACATCTTGACAATCAAAACGGCACTTGCAGTCAAAGAGTAAATTGTCCTATCCACATTTGACTGGACTGATGCAGTTGCAAATAAAAATGTGAAATTCACAATGCACAATAAAGCTTCATATTTGAATTTGTGCGGGCCCACATTTCACAAAAGACGTTTATCACAAAGTTCAAAATATGAGAAATGCAACTGAAAAGCAAAGTCAATAAATGAATAGGACTTGAAATTTTGACACAATGCTTGACACAGTGCTTGAAGCGATTCTTCAATTGAAAAATCAGCTCTGCAGTTAAAGTGCACAATTTTATGAAATAATTTTTGTTCGAAATCGTATCTCACCTAACACGTTTCTGTGTATTTAATTAATGTTGAAAGTGCAAATGAATCCCATATGTTTAGAATATTGATGTAATAGTGGATAGCCCAATAGAAGAGCAGTTTTCAGTGCTAATAATGTTAACATTTTTTTCAGAGAATTCGGAGACTCAATCTAACTTGTCGTAATAATAGTATTACTACTACGCAACAAGGATTCCAGATTTGTCGTATTTTTGTACAACACTGTAAATATATCAGGAAATTCTAAATGAAAATCGTTTTAGATTTCAATTGGATTTGTAAATCGGGAGACTGTCCTCATGATAAGGGGACGTCTAGAAACCTTGTGCTAAATACTATTATATATTTGATTAATTTTCAATTAGCGCAGAAATTGGAAGAAAGGTCTATGGTTTATTCGGTAAAATCTAAAAACTTCGATACAATTTCGATTAAACAAATATAAATATGTTATTGTGTTATTTCACATATTCTCATAATGCACTATCGGCTTAATGCTCATATTATGTGTGTCACTGCTTACGGTACAGCTGACGCTATGCGATGGGAAGGCTCCAAGGAAGAGAGCGCCCGCCATGAAATATGAACTATTCACGCGTTGCATTATGAAACAGCATTTTTGTTTTTGTTATTGTTTCTGTTTTTACATGTTATTGGTATGCGCTGTGTATCCTTACATACTGTGACACGTATTTGTGAGGACCGTTTTCGTTAAAGTACTTGATTTACTGCAGTGTGATACGAGAGTATTTCATGAGTTGTTCTTGAGCTGAGAGAGTGCTACGTTTGGGGAACCCATTTTGTGTAGCTACTTGGCTGTCCGGGAGATTCTGTGTCCTAGGCACAGGTGCCGACGTTTCGGCACCCATTTTGCGACCATTCAAACCATTTACTAAATGTTCTTCAAGAACAGACTGTAAATTGTGCAGATGTGAAATAAAACAAATAATTCACGAAAACAATTAAAAATTGTGCCACGTTCCTCAGGGCGAAAAGATACTGACTCCGGACGCAGATATCTCTCGTTTCGTGTTTTGTGCTTCTGCATGCCACTGAGACCTTCCTCGGGGCAAAAGCTACTGACTCCGATCGCGGAAGCCTACGCTCTCATTTTGTGTCATTTTGTTCCCCCGCATGTCACTGCGGTCTTCCTCAGGGCGAAAAGCTACTGACTGACTGCGGCCGCGGAGGCCTACGCTCTCGTTTCGTGTCTTTTTGTTCTCCCGCATACTAGTGCGCCCTTCCTCACGGCGAAAGCCACTGACGGACTCTGGCCGCGGAGGCCTACGCTCCTTGTTTCCTGCATGCGACTGGTTGTTGCCAAGCACTGTGCCGAGCGCGGGGGCCAGGGGCGCGGAAGGGCCTGGGGGCGGGCCTACCTTCGTCGTCGGACGAGAAGCTGTTGTAGCGGTTGACGGAGGCCGAGGAGCGTCGCCCGTCCTGGCTGCGGCTGCGGCCTGCGGCGCGGCTGGGGCCCGGGATGGTGTGGCTGTCCTCGGGCAGCGGGCGGCGGCGCGCCGACCGGCTCCCGCCCGCGCCCCCGCTGCCGCCAGAGTCCTCACGGCTGCGCCCGCCCTGAAAGCGTGCTATTGTACATTTTGCTGCAGGAGAAGTTAAAAAAGTAGATTGGTTTTCGATTGGATAATGTAATAGATTTATGGACAGTGGTATGAAAGTAGCGCTTAATATAGCTTTGAAATTATTAGAACTTCCCTGGTAAACGACAAATATATACAAGTCCCCCCGTGGTTAATGTACTACTTAAAAGTACAAAAAACTAAAACAACGACAACAAAAGAATCACTTTTCCCCTTGACATTGTGATAAGAGCACGTGATTGGGTCACTGGCGAATTCAGGGCCGCCAAAACACAAAAGACACAGAGTTTTCGTTTACCTTTCTCTATTTGTCATAATTGATTAAAATATTTATTTATAATCGAATTCTGCAATTATTTAAACAATAACATTGTATACTATCCTATCTACAGCACATAAATAAAATAGTACGTCATAACTCGTATGTTTATTATGGGACAGAAGCCGACGCGTGTACCTGCTGGGCGTTGGCCTGCTCGTGGGAGGCGAGCTCGCGCAGCACCTGCTGCTGCTGCTTGTAGTAGCGCGACAGCTCGTTCTGCGCCGTGCCGCGCGCCGAGGAGCCCGACGGCTTGCGCGCGAGCGGGCTCTGCAGCATGCGCTGCTTCCACTCCAGCAGCCGCTTCATCGACTCCTCCCGCTGCCACAGAGCACACGACACTCGCTCGCCACTCGCTCGCCACTGCGCGCAATCGAAACCTTTACACGCGCCCCCTTCCTGGAACGCAAGCAGTCTTAGTGCATTCGATAATAAAAACAGGCCCTCTTTTCACCGGGCCTGAACGTTACACCACTCCACAGCCCAAGCATGTTGAAGAGGCGTTGATACTCTGAACCAGTGCCGCCGCTAGTCATGGGCAGATCGGGCGATCGCCTGGAGTGAAGGGTGATGGGATTGATGAGGGGAAAATATTTAAAAATTGAAAAAGAAATTAGAACTCGAGAAAAACGTTGTCGTAATATTATAAGTCGCTGATTTATCATAAAATTTTCGATTATTTTTTTTAGCTTAAATGTGTTTACTTACACGTTACTTACACGTAGGACCCTATGAAATTAATCAATAGAAGCTAACATTAACATAGGTTCTACTAAAATTCATGTTTATAATGTCATGCATGTAACACGTAATTTTATTAAACACTAAGTAAATACAAGAAAGTGTTTTAGCGTTTTAAGATCTCCATGAAAATAGTGTTATTTGATCACTAAATACCTTGACTTCAAACTATTATTTAAAAGTATATTTCCAAAAACTTGTTCTAGTTTAAACATAATTGTTACTATTTGTTGAAGTAAAATAATGTATATATTTTCTTGATAATACTTTCACATTTTTAATTTTGTCGGGAATGGGGGGGGGCTTTTAGCATTGCTCTAGACCCAAAATCGTCTAGATCTGGCACTGCTTACAGCAGATCCTAGGAACAACTTAATTGATTCAACGAGATTCCTGGAATAGAAGGATATTAGCATGTGTATTGTTGAAGGACAGAAGTACCATTTTAGAGTACATGAATATATTAACAAAATGTGCTATGAAATATACTTCACCCTAATTAAATTAACACACTATTTAATATATAACAAAACAATATATCCTACACAAGTATAAAGTACTTCAAATTGATATAAAAACAGAAACACTTCAATACATATACCATATACTTGTTTGGGAATGCATAGATCATTGCAGTGTATTAATCAAACTATTTTTTTTCAAATACTTAAAATAAAAATAAAATTAAATTAATCAAGGTATATAATACAATGAATGCAGTTACTACTGTTTTGATTCTTTAAAAATAAAACTAATTCATATATTACAACCTATGCAATGAATGATATGCAATAAATAATATACAAACGAATAAATGATAATGCACAACAAATGATACACAATAAATAATACTTCAATAATCTCAAAATTATATTTATGTTATTACAGTATTATTTATTATTAAAAATTGTTTAATTTAAAATTTGTTATATTTAAAAATTGCTACTAGCACACATGTTTCAAATCCTAATTTTTTGTAATTACAAACTTACACGACACATGCTTAAATTTTTAGAATACATACTATAACTTACACACAAATATTTATTTTATTTATCTAATAATTTAAGTGTTTTTTGTGAAAATTCAAATTCTAATGACGCACCTTCAACGCTATGTGTCATTAGCTGCATTTTTACAGCTTTGCAATACAGCCTATATTTTCTTTTTACAAAACAATTCACCAAAATCTATCCAAAGAATTATCAATGGTCTTACATTTACATTTCTAAATATATTCTACAAATGTGAGATATCTGTAATTTTAAAACACCTCTCTTTTTACAAAAATTCTTTGGGGAAAAGGAAAATACATACAGACTTGAGTTTGAAATGATCAGATATTTTTGATATTGGAAACCATCACAGATTCTAAAAACTGGTATGAAAAATGACTAATAACACTTCTGGCTGCAGGAATTTCTAAGAAAACTCATTAATTAACCAAAAACCTTAACAACATAGTCCTGACTAAATATATTAAATTTTTGATACACTACTATAATTTACTAAATTTTTAAGCGCACATTACACTTTCTCAAGTGATTTTCACATTTTCTATTTTCAGTTAAAGGAGACTAATTCAGAATTACAGTCTCTTGATACTTACATTTGATTTCCCTAAACATTTTTCAAATTCAAATTAAGAATTATTTTTCAAAACCAAGAAACATAATGTCACAGTCCTTAAGTGAATGAAACCACCATTTTTATAACATTTACTCTTCTCACAATTCCTATGTAAACATTTTCATTTTAGTTCTACATTCAATTAAGTAGTGTTGTAAACGAAAACAATGTAGAAAGCTTTCAACTTTATTGAAAAACCAACTGCATATGATTGATATGAAGAGAACTATCACATGCTTTCAAAATATATGATACTGCAGAAATTTTCTTTTTCAAAAACATTTAATGTATTGTAGAACTAAAATGACAATAGTCCAGAATTAAATGATGAATTTGTAATGATAGTGCTGCTTCTCAAATGTAGACATATTTTGTTTTTTCAAATTTTAAGTAACTTTCAGAGATAAACACTAAATTAGGAAATGTGTAACATTGAAAACTTTATATGATTAATTTTTTGATATGTAAACATTACCAATAACGATCATTATTTGCATTGTAGACAGAATTAAAAACTTAGAAGCGATAATGAGAAAGGACCATAACTCTGGCAGCATCATAACACAATCATTGGCCAAACTGCTTAACTATGCTGAGCGAAATCAAGAAAGTTAAGTGACATGAGATATCATGGATACCTGGATGGGTGACTTGGGATAGCATAGTTCTTTCTCGGAATTTTTTCTAAGGTAGAGAGAAGAAAACAGAAATAAAAATTAAATATAAGCAAAAGCAAAATAAAACAGGAATGTTCAAACAGAAATTGGATACTCTGTAAGATGAATAATATGAAATGATACTTATTTTCCCACTCACAAGCTTTTCATTAATAATTTAGAGTTATGATTTTTAAAATATTTAAATAACACAGCAATTGTTCACTTTCTATATTTTCATGTGTTTCTCACTCATTATGATTCAAAATTAATTTCCACCATTCATCTCATTTTGTTTTATGAAGCATTATTAAAACAAATTATAGAGTTTAATGACAGATGTATGAAGTCTGATATTCTGCCTTTAATAGTGTATTTATTTCAAGATAAACAGCAGAGCACATGTAAATTTTCTAGTTTTGAAACAATTGAAATTGTGTTAGAATAGCAAACCACTACTTCCCAAAAAGAAGCCTATCAATCCTACCAAAATCTTAACCAAATCTTACAATCTAATCCAAAATCTTACAATCCATCTTTGAAAACTCTTCTGAAAAAGCTAAAACATTCATCAAGAAATGTTATCATTTAGATCATGTTAGATTATAATTTTTTTATATTTCCTTGTTCTGTGAAATTCAAGATCTCCCTTGCAAATAGCAAATAAGATGCAACTAGAAATGCTCACTGCACAAATACAAAGAGTAAGTAAACCAAATTCTTTGAATTTGTTTTAATAGTTCTACTGTGAAACTGAAGTAGGTTTCATTTGGCTGAGTAGAATTAATAAAGTCCTGGTGATATGTATTTGTGTGAGAAGAATGCTCCTTTTACATGAACTTTTACATGATTACATGTACAGTGTAAGAGAATATTGAAAGTCTTACAAAAATAAAATATACATATAACCCCCAACACTTAGTAAAACTTAAAGTCACATTTTGGATAAGAAATGCAGAATGAAAAGATTGTAAGATTTTAAACAAACTAAACAAATACTACTTTATAAATGCAAAGAAGATAGTAAATATGCTGTAGAAGTGCAAGCATTTTTCTATAACAATGTCAATGCTCCATTGTACTTATAATGAAACTATGTCCTGACATTTATCCTCTAATCATTGTAATGCAAGAGACACAGAAATATTTTTGAAAAGTTCTACTTTAAAATTTTGTAAATGAACACCCAATTCTTCATTAAGAGGAAAATTATATAATTTATATAATTATATATGTTTTCATTACAAATTATTACATTTTTATAATTTTGTCACATATTCTTTTAGAGTTTTTCTGTCCTTGAAAGTAAATAAAAAAATAAATGCAAATTAAGCAAAATAGTACAACATGTGCAGAAATCTGTCGGTTAACTATATAAGCAATGGCTATTAACAATGTTTACATTTCTAAATGTTAAAATTTCCAATCAAAAAATTAAATCACTATGATGTTGGGACTCCTTCTGAAGGGATTTATTTGAAGGTCACTATATGATATAATCAGAGAAGAACCCAAAAGTGAAAACTTAACACAGGATAAAATATTTCCTACATAATGAATATTAATTTCATATAATTAAATATGAAGTTATTTGAACATGGATATCCAGAAAACTTCAACTACTAAAATCAAATCTCAAATTGTGCAAACATTATTTAATACACTATTTTATCATTTATCACTAAAATTTAAATCATGAAATGATACAATAAGAGTAACCCATTGATAATGCTTTTAAAAATACAAACACTAGGAGGAACAAAGGAACAAGTTTGATAAAAATTTACATTAAACAAAGTAATGCTATAAATTGAAGACTTTGCAAAACAAAACGAAGATAAGAATATCCACAAGTATGCAACACATAACCCACACTTTGTTTGTAGTCATTCATGGCATCTATTTGCCATTCTATACTTGTGAATAACTTAACAAGAAACATAAGTTTTTCTTTTGCAAATAAATATATTTGTAAATAAAAATATAATTTATGTTTCTTTAAATTATTTACAGCAAAATTTTGTTGTGAAATAAAGACTCCAAGATGATTGTGGAGATAGAAATTAAATAGAGGTTTACTCCATTCTTCTGTTATTGTTCCAGTATTTTTGAAGATAGAACTCAGTGATCAAGACAGAGTTAGATGACATTTGAGCATCATTTTGTTATGAAATTCCATGAAATCAAATTCTCGTACCTAATATTGTTATTTCAAATATCACTACAACTATTTTCCAACAAAATGAATTGGGTGTGGAAATATAAGAAAATAAAATTACATTAAGCACAAATATACATTAAGAGCTTACATTAATGTTTATATTGATAGATTACTTTTGTATTTAAGTAAAATATATCTTAAAATGTTTGCAATAATATTATATAAGTATTTGTATAAAAACTACAGCTAATGAAAAACAGAAAGTAACATTATAACAGTCACTATAAATTTAATATCAGTTCTCTCATTAATTCAAGACTATCATATGAAGAAGAACTCTAAATATTCCAATTTTCTCACTAACTTAGTTATGATTATAGATCAACGAAAAGCAATAAAGTTCAAATTGAAGGAATATTTTTTCTAATAATTGAAATTCTTGACAAAATGTTTCAAATCTTAGGAGGTGAATAACTTTTAAAATAATTTTTCACATTTGCTAAGAAAGTAACATAATTTTAGTGTTTTCCTTACATCTAGGTAGATTAATAATATTTTCTTAACTGAAATAACTTTGATTGAAAAGATTTTGAGAATTCATACACTTATTAGAAAAATTAAACAGAAAAACAAAACAATATAAAAATGATCAGCATCTTAACCTTTAAAAAAAAATTAAAATTGCTCACTCTTTTCCCAAAAAGGTTTCATGGTCAAAGAATAACACTGTCCTTTATATTTTCAATGGACATCAGATATAACTATTTTTATTATTACAATCTCCAGATCATAATGTGCACATTTTAAGGTACTGAAGTGTAAATTATATCAGTCAGGAAACAATTATATTACATACGCAGATTATATAAAAGATTGATTTGCAAGGCTTAATCAGGCTTTATAAAAATATTCAAAATTTTTGTTTACAATTAGGGTAAGGATACAGATAAACAAGCTGATGAAAGGCCAACTATTAGGGAAAGAATGTGCTATATATAGTAATAATTTAAATTAGTTAATGAAGTCATAAAATGATATGAACCACCAGTAACTGGTAATTTCCACAATATTCATAAAGGAAACCTTCCAAGATTGTAAAAATCTGACAAAACAAGTTTAGACACTAAGATACATATGAAATCGGATCTACAAAGGATGGTATAATTCTATTCCCAGTTTTGAATACACATGAAACACTGACTTTTTTTAAGAATTCTAAGGGAAGAATATTTCTCATTTAAGGTACAGAAAATTCCTAGAATTCTAAGAAAAGCAAAGTGTTTTCAAATAGTGAAAAAAAAAAAAAAAGTATTTTTCCATTCTTTTGAAAATAAAATATTCATTGCTAATTTCACTAATTAAAAATTAACAAAATAGCACGAAAAAATATTATTTGCAAGAAGTGTGTTCCACATTTCAAGGTACATAATAAAAAATCGTTTTAAATATTGACAATATCTACAAATTTAATATTAAATCTTTAACACTTAAAATACAACGAAAACTACCTTCTGGCCGGATGTCAACATACCTGCTGTATCTTTCTCTCCCCTTCTCTGACGTCGGATGTTGACCTCTGCCGGTGCTCTTCCACGTGCGAATCGTCCTCGTCGTCCTGGTACCTCTGCCGGGGCAGCCGCGCGCTGGCAGACCGTATGAACTGGCCGTTGGACCTGGGGTCCGTGTACTCGCTCCACCGGCGCTGCTGCAACTGCTGGTAGTGGGGTCTCGACGGCGACCTGGGGTCGTTGGGAATCCGCGGGTCGGACCCGAACCTCGGGTCCGTCGGAATGCGGGGGTCCGAGGGAATCCGGTGCACCTCCGTCATCCTGGGGTCCATGCCCAC